AGAATATAAATCAGAATAATATAATAATATAATTCAGAATAATATAAATCCTTTTTCCTTCCTCTCTCTAATAGAATTTTAAAATTCACTAACCCTTGATTTCTTAAATCCTGTAAAGAGTTACCATTTTTAGGTGATGCTCTGTGAGCAATCCCATTGATGTCACTGAGTATGGAATAAGCCTATTACCAGAGGGAAGAATTTGAAGTAGCATTTTCCAAAACAATACCTGAATTTAAAAATAACCAACAACCTTTCTCTGCTTGTCAAAGTCAATCTAAAGGAATTTTTCACTTCTTTCCTCCAGCTTCTACAGAAAGTCATTTTCATGGAAGGTAGGTAAAGGCTTCATTACTAAACCCTTTGTAGCTTCACTATCAGTAAGGTGATGAAACTACTGCCATCTGAAGTGTCCACAGAGATTCCATGAACTTTACCAGGACTGTGCCCGTTTCCAGTCATAAATTAACAGTTAAATGGAAATTACACACATACTGTTGCTGCAATGTTATGAGCTACTCGTGTTGGTTAATTTAGTTTTGGAAGGATTTCCCAAGTCCTTACACTGTAAGACTGACTGCCTCCCTTTAGATATCTGTGGTTGCCTTGATAGCCCTCAGAATATCTGCGTTTGCTGGAAATTGTGTTCCAAGCTTGTACTGACATTGTGCCCTTTGCAGAAATTCCTCATTAGCTCCTTTAAGGAGGAAACTAAATTTTAAACAATGCACTTCTGGTTGGACTGATAGTACAGATAGAGCTGATAGGAAGGGAGGGACTTGTGTAGGAAAAACAGACCAGCTCTGCAGCACGAGTCCAGGAGGGCCTGGTGTGCCAAATGACTGGGTGGGTTGTTCCTTCTTTCCCTATCATTTGGTCTCATAATACAATCCCTAAGTAGCTGCACTAAATAATGGAAGAGAGATGGAAAAATTATGTGCCTTTTAAATTTCTTAAGATGAAACATTCACTGTTGCTCCGCATAATTAATTTTCATGGTTAAATCTGCGCAGATGGAAATGGAACAGTGAAGAGCCCAACCATAGTTAAGCTTAAAGGTACTGGTAACTCCCAGCACAAATATTTATCTATGAAGAGCTTTTCCCTTTATGCCTTTTTAAAAACATGATACTGACATAACTTGGAACTCCTGAATTTTAAGCAACTTTATTGTGCTGAGAAGTTTTTCTTTTGTTTTAATCACAAAAACAGCTACACACTTTGAGGCTGGGTCGGTCTCCTATTTTGCAGAGATCTCAACCTCTTCCTTTCACGTAAAAGCACAGCACGATGGTCAGACCAGCAGTTGTTTCCAGTTCTGTGAGACCAGCAGCTGCCAGCTGTGTGTGCTGAGGGATCACAGAATAAATAAATAAATACTTTCCTTTCTGGGGGACAGCTCCTGCCGAGTGCCAGTTCTCTGTAGAGCCCGCTCGTTTCCAGCGTGTTCGTGCTGCCGGGGCTGGATCTGCTGCGGGCTTTGGAGCCTTTTCCCGTTCCGAGCTGGGGCTGAGGGGGCCGAGGGCCGCAGCCGGGGCTGCAGCATCCCCTGAGGGCAGAGGGGCAGACACGGAGCTCTGCTGGCTCTGGGAGCGGCAGGCCCGAGGGAAGGCCATGCATTTGTGTCAGGGGAGGGTTGCGTGGGGTGTCAGGTTCTCCCCCGAGGCTGCTGCCACTGCCCAGGCTCCCCAGGGAACGGGCACGGCCCCGAGGCTGCCAGAGCTCCAGGAGCGTCTGGGCAGCGCTGCCAGGGATGCCCAGGCCGGGATTTTGGGGTGTCTGTGCAGGGCCAGGGGTTGGGTTGTCCCTTCCAGCTCAGGATATTCTGTGCAGTGCCGGCCTGCGGCGGCCGCCCTTCACCGGGGCCCGTCCCTGTTGTCACACAGAAAGCGCCGCGTCCGATCCCAGGAGCAGCGGTGTCCCCGTTGTGAGCTGCGTGCGCCGGGCGCCGGGCCAGGCACGGCGGGCCAGGCACGACCTCCCCGGGCCAGGCACGGCGGGCCAGGCACGACCTCCCCGGGCCGCCCCCGCACGCCGGGGCCGCGCCGGGCCCGGGCCGCCCCCGCCGCCACGATCTCGGCCTTTGCGGCGCTGACTCACGGCGGCCCCGCCGCACGACTCCGGCCCCGCCGTGAGTCACGCACCGCCCCCGCGGGCCGAGGGGCGGGCCGGGGGCGGCCGCGCCCCTACAAAGCGGCGCCGCCACCGCCGGGCCAGCGCGGCCGCTCCGGCATGGACGGAGCCGGGCTGGGCGTCACCGCCTGCGCCGCGGCCGCGGGGCTGCTGCTCTACCGCATCGCGCGGAGGTACGGCCGGGGCCGCGGGGACGGGGAGGCAGCCAGGGAGGGACGGAGCGAGGGAAGGAGGGAGGGAGGGAGGCAGGGCCGTGGCGGGATGCGGCCCGCGGCGGCGGGAAGGCTCCACGCGGGGCCCGGGCCCGGCCGGCCCGCGGCTGTGGGAGCAGCTCCGGGAGAGCCCCGGCAGGGCCCGGGTCCGGCCCCAGGCGGCTGTGGGGGGCTCGGCCCCTCCTGCTCGGCGCCAGGATCGGGTGGGGGAATGGCGGGACGCGTTCTTCCGTGGCCCGGGAATGGCTTTTGTGTGCCGGCCTGGGCAGCCTGCGAGCCGTGAGTGCTCCCATCGCTGCCCGGGGACTCCCCGGGCCATCGCGGGCTGCCCCGCTTGTTTCCTGGCGTCTTCGAGGCAGGGGAAGAGAAGATCCTGCTCCTTTGGCTGGTTGATGTGGGGTGAGGGAAGGATTGCTGGGGAACGGGTCTCTAAAATAACAACGCTGTTAGCACAGAGCTGGAACTTGGGGAGATTCTATACAAGTCAAAATTATTGATTAGGGACCAAAATTCTTTGATTACTTGTTTCTTAATTGTACAGAACCTTCTGACCTTAGAACAAATTCAGAGCAATTGAAAACAAGGCTTGAAAACATCAGGACAGATGTCATGATTCAGATCTCATAAAGGGAGAAAAGCTGAATTTGACAGATTCTAGTCTAGCAGATCATGAAAGGAATGTAGGGATGTGTGGAATATAAGGCATTTCAGTCTTTGTAGCAGCATTTGACTTTGCAGTCTGCTCATCTATTAAGTGCTTCTATTGGAGACAAGCCAGTCCCAAGGGCTCCCTGTGTTAAGGTTTACTTCAAGTTTACGCTTTGTAAGAGAAGCATATTCCTACATCCTCAATATGATGCCTAAGGTTGGCTCTAAAGCACTTTCTCTTTATTTAACCATATCAATGATCAGTGGGACATTAGCCTATATACAGGACTTGGCATTTCTATGACATATTTAGGGTAGCCAAGAAATCCAAGTGGCCTAAAGCAATCCCAGTGAAGCAGGCAAGATTTCTTTGACCCAGTTGAGGCTAACATGCCTTTTGAGGGAGGAGATTGGATTTGTTTTGCTCAAGTTCACCAAAAGGTCTCTGGAATGGAAAGCATTTCTTCCCAAGTCCTTGAAGACTGCCAGTAAATTCTTTCAGGTGGTCTTGATAATTCTTTGAGGCTACATGCTTGTGTTTCTCAGTAGTATTCTGATAGTTCCAAATTTCTTGTTCAAATTTCTTGCCTTAGTTGAATGGATCTGCCATAGTTGTCAAGGAGGACAGCTTAATAAGGGACACAGACGTGATGTCAGACATAGATATGATGCTGCCTTTGCTTTTTGTGTATCAAGAAGGTGAAAGATTTGGTGTCCAGATATGAACAGAACCTGGGGTGGTTATCACTGGGTGTGTGTCCCTGCCTAAGTCCACTGGGCACCTTTTTCCTGGTTGAGAGGACACCAAGTTTGGCTCTCAGGAGGGGACAGGCTGCATTCTAACTTACATCACTGTACTAGAAATTTAGTCTTGTGGCTAAGTCTTGTCTATATAGCTGCTAGTTCTGAGCAAATGCATCTCTATTATAGTTCACACTCTGGGCAGCTGTGATGTGTTTTTCTTGAACTGGAAAATGGGGTTTAACCTTGGGTGTTCCCTGACAGACCCCTTTACTGTCAGGTGATGGGCACCTGGAGTTTGGCAGCTGTTCTGTGCCACCCACGAGTTTCCCTGCCAGGGAGCTGAGCTCCTAACCCAGGTGTGCCAACAGTGCCGTGCCAGCACTTGGTCTGTCCAGCTGCCACCAGATGTGGTTTGATCAAAACTGATCTGTGCAAAACAGCTCCTCTTCCCCATGTACTTTTTGTTCAGATTTGCTGGCATAGCCATTTGAATAATGGCTTTGTAATCCAGTTGTCCCAGAATGAAGACTGCTGCTTTAAATACCTTTAATGGAGAATTGGGTTTTTCTTCTAATCCTTGGTAACCCAGTGAAGAGCTGCACATCCACCAGTGGTTTCTTTCAAGACTACAGAAAAGTAAACATCTTCCTCTTCTGACTTAGTAGTAAAGAGGGTGGGGAGTAGATGTAAATAAAAATATTTACAAATCCAGTTTAAAATTGCCAGCACTTATCAAGGTAGACTGTTGTTCTGGCAATCCATTAGAAGCATGGACTTCAGCATGACCTTCAGTGTGTGTATGAATGAGGAGTAGTGAAGAGTGCTGGGAGTTGGAAGGAGCCTAAGTTTCTCCTTGTGTGACATGACAGACACAAAGTAGTTGCTAACCAGTATTTATCAGTGGGACCTGCAGAGCTGCAGCCTGATTTTTGTGAGCAAAATGAAGGAATCCAGCAGCTTCTCACAAAGGAACGTTTTGTCATATTATTTGAGCAATGTCAGACATTTAGGTGTTGATGTCATAACTGAGTTTACTGCAGGTATTTTACCCTCAATTTTGTCTTAAGCAAATCTTTTCTACCTGCAAAACAATTTGTTTGAGCCTGGAAATATTTTCTGAGCTTGATTGGGTGTGCAGGTTACACGGGGAGTTAGCACAGCAAGTCAGCTGTGCATGGAACCTCTCTGTGCTGCAAGTAACTCAATCACTTCTTGTTGCTCAGGTTTTGGTTTGCAGGGAGATTTTCTGTCCAGTGAAGCTGGTTCTGATCTACAGTGGTAGATTATAAACTCCTCAGGGATGATTTGCCTTTTGATTTGCAAGGGATTGAGCACATGGTAAAGGCTCAATTTTGTGATGTCAGTCTCATACCAGGATCTGACTTTAGAAGCAGCGTGTGCTTTAGCTCACTGCCCTCAGCTGCTGCCTGAATTCAGTCAAGGTAAATACAGCTCCAAAGTAGTTACATCTGTATTTGAGAGTCTTTCCAAATGCAGAACTTGTTTTCTGGTTTTTCAGTCCTGCCCAATTACTAGAAAATTAGCACGCTACCTACATGTTCTTGCCTAAACAACTTTTTTCTCCCCTTGTTCATCTTTTTGCATCCACTACATTGGAAATTTGGGATTTTTTTAACCTATTTCTGTGGCAACAGATTATAGGTTCACAGAAGGAAGTATTACTGGTTTTATTAGTATTATTATTATTAGTAGTATTAGTATTATTAGTGGTTGAAGCCTACTTGTTATATTTGCACGGCTTTTGCACCTGTGATAGTGAGATTGGACTAATACAGCAGGTGTTGCTGTCCATCCTTCATCTGGCTGTTCTGACATGTGCTTGGCTTTTGGACAGCTCATGGAGAACTCAGACTATCAACCTAGATTTGTCTGCTTTAAACTCTGGGCTGGTTTGGTTTGGTTTTTTTTGCCTGTTAGTTTTAGCAGTGATATTTTTAACTCAGATCAGTTGAGACCCCTTGGCAGTGAAGAAAGTTGAGCAGGGAATATTCATTTTAAGAGGGGTGTGGGTGTTTGCATCTATTTTGAGATGAGAATCTGTCATCCTAGTAGCTCCAGCCATTTTCTTTCAGCATCTGGCAGGGAATCCTCTGTACATTCTGACTTTTTCAGTGCTTCATTTCAAATATATCCTCATTGTTAGTGCCTAAACAGGAGGCTCAGACATTGCTTGAGGGTTTGATATTTTATGAATTGAGTTTCAAGGCACAGTCTATGGAAATGGGAATGGGAAAAATGTTTATTGTGGAGATCCAGCTACTGAGGTGATGGCTGAGAGATGTCTGGCTGTTTGGTTGCAGGGTGCCAGACAACATTTCTGCAGCTTTGAGATGTTTCAGCAGCAGAGAACATTTCCTAGAGCTGGGGGAGGTTGCTCTCAGCTGGGAGCACCTTGTCTCCTGTTGGCTGCTCCCCTGCTCCTCTCTCCTGCTGCAGTGGAGCCTCACAGATGAGTTCCCTGGTGGAGCTGGGCTGGTGGCAGCTGGGTCCATCTGTCTCCATAGCTGCCATAGCGAGTCCTGAGCAGCTGCCCTCCCTTGGAAGTGTGACTGGGACCGGTTCTGATAAACCCAGACAGCTGGGCTGTGGTGCCTTGACCTGCCAGGAGGCTCCTCCTGGGGATTGCACTGAGTTTTGAGACAAATGCAGAGCTTCTCTAGCAGGCAGGCTCAGGGGTCGGGCTGCTAAAGTTCTTTGCTCAAACATCTGTCACAACCTGTTGTGGTGGGGCCATGTTGCAGCTGTTTGTCTGTACTGGCTGCTGCTTTAACAGGATTGCTTCAGAAAACAAGGGGCTCATGGATCAAGGTCATTAGTCTTTATCCCTTCAGTTCTAGTGCATGAAAGCAGAAGATGAAATGGTGATTCCTCAGTTCCTTTAGTACCTGAAGTTGTGAATAAACAGCTGTTTACAGTGTTGGAACCTCAGGATAATGTGATGTGCCCTTGTCCTTGAAAAAATTTCCTGCCAAACAGGGCAGACAGAACTGTAACCATGAGCCCATTTCCTGGGTTTCTGAGCATCATCACAGGCAGCTCTTGTGGATCCTGACTTCCTTTTCCTGAAATCCTGTGTATTAAGCATCAATTCTACTACACCTGCTCTTAGACTAGCACTGCTGATTATGGAGAGGACTCGCACCCCAAATACGCCCCTGAAAAACAGCGGAGTGGGTAAATCACGGTTGTTACTAAAGTTCTGGTATGTCCATGGTACTAGAACAGAGGTATGATTGTCAGGCAGAATTATTTCTGCTTTAGCATTCCGTCTTTCCATTGCTAAAATGACAATTCCGAGTCACGTCATTAAGCACACGGAATGGGAAGGTTGCCTGTTTTCCTGCATTTCACCGTGTGAAAGCCATTGCTTTGCTCTCCAGCAGCTGAGCTCAGTGCTCCTGCCTGAGAGCTCTCCTCTCACCGCAGGAAGAAGCCCACACATGTGACAGTGAACTGCTGGTTCTGCAATCAGGACACGGTGGTGCCCTACGGGAACCGCAACTGCTGGGACTGCCCCAACTGCGAGCAGTACAACGGCTTCCAGGAGGTACAGGGGTTCCAGGAGGTACCTGGGGGTACAGGGGTTCCAGGAGGTACCTGGGGGTACAGGGGTTCCAGGAGGTACAGGGGTTCCAGGAGGTACCTGGGGGTACAGGGGTTCCAGGAGGTACAGGGGGACCTGGGGCCTGAGCCTTGGTCAGGGCACTGCAGCAACACCGAGGGGCATGGCCAGATGTTGGACAGCTGGCAGCTCTGTGCTGAGCTCAGCACCTCTGCTTGGAGAAAGAATCCACTGCACTGGGGTGTGCTGACTAGAGAGATGGAGACAAATTTCCCTCTCTTGCATTAAAGGGAAAAAGTGGCTTTGACATATCTCTTTAAAAATACTTTTTTTTTTACTGTATGGAACAATTCTCTGGTTTTGTATTCTGTTAAATAGCAAAACCTACCTTAAGCTGATGTCCAACATCAGCAGCTACTTGTGACAGGTGTGCAGGACAGTGGAGATGGGGGAAGATTTGAAGCATTTTGTCTCTTTTTTTACTTATTTATTTTGTTACAGAGGTGAATGCTATTGAAATGTAGAGCTGCTGACAGAGTTTAGGGAATCTTGCTGTCAACCTAGCTTTGATTTCTTGACTGAATGTTTGCTTCTCTCCCTGCTTTTTGTCAGAATGGAGACTACAACAAGCCCATCCCTGCCCAGTACATGGAACACCTTAACCACGTTGTGTCGGGCACTCCAACTTTCTGTGACCCTGCCAAACCACAGCAGTGGGTGAGCAGCCAAATTCTGCTCTGCAAGAAATGCAACAACCATCAAACCATGAAAATCAAACAGCTGGCTTCATTCTCACCAAGGGAGGAGGTGAGTGTTCGTTAGGGACTGCCATCACTGGAGAATGTTTGTCCAAGGTATTCCCATCCATGCATCTGCTATTCCTGCTCCGTTATTCCATGCTGCAGCCTAGCAGGCAGGAGAGAGAGCAGTTTTTCAGTGTGCTGTGGGGTGATTCTCCCACAGTCTTCAGAAGCACTGTGTGGCATTCCAGTGCAGAGAAGTTCAGTGAATAATGTTGCAAATTTACCTAAGTCTACTGCAAAGCTGGAATGCTCCCCTGTTCTAGAGTACTGGAAATTAAAGCTTGAACCCGAGACATTTCTGAGATCATCTTACAACTCCAGTACTTCTGTGTCTGAGTTTATGGGACCTGAGAGGCACAACAGCCCACTAGTTAACATGAAGCCTTAATAGATTTTGTTTTCCTGAGGCCCTGGCTGTGCTGCTCTACATTTACAAGTGAAGTGGGAGAGGAATCCTGTGAAGCCACATGATTTCCCTGGTTAGGCATCTGTGCCTAGGAGGGCAGAGGGATTTTGCAGTTACAGCAACAGGATTTCCTGCTGAGCAACTTCTTGGCCTTCCCATAACTTAATATGCATGGAGGATGGGATAGTGGGGTTTTTCCTTCACAGTTTTATGGCTCCCTAAAGTTTTGTGCAGAGAATTTAGTGCTGCACTCCTTTGCCTTCAGCCATGGTCAAGCCTTGGGGTTAGTCTGTGCTGTAGTGTGATGTGTCTGTCCTCTGGCTTGCCTAATCCAGTCTGCTTTGTGTGATTATAATGAGTTTAACCAGAATGACTCTCAGAGAACAGATTGAAGTTTGATTACGCTTAATGAGAATATCTTTGGCTGGTGCCCTTTTCTCAGCTTTATTTCTAGTCCCTGCCTTTTGCCAGACCTATCCAGTTGCTCAAGTACTGCCAGCCTTTGGCCCCTTTTTAGGCATTCAGTGAACTGCAGTGCCTGAGCCAGCTGAGAAAGCTGGGATTGTGTTATCCAGCATGCTTGGATAAGGGTGTCAGTGACAGCAGGGGCCTTGCACAGCAGGGCTGGCTGTCCCAGAGAGGGATGAGCCTGGAGTGAAGGAGGAACAGGTATTTTGTATCCCCTCATTTGAGGAGAGAAAGAACAATTCTAGTTACTTGTTTCACCTATGTGGAAATCATAAGATCTCAACAAAGACAGCAAAATCGGGCACGGAAATTCAGCATCCTGATGTTGGGCCACATCATTCTTCTCCAAGGCTCTTTTCTGCCTTCTCTTCTGGGACATGGAGGCTGGGTCAGCTCTGTGTGAGGCTGGCTGTGTGCCTGGCCTGCGGTCGCTGTCCAGGCCTGTTTTCAGGGAGCTGTCCCTGTGAGGCTGGAGTCGTGCTTCACCCTCCTGTCAGGAGCAAACGCGACAGCTGCACCTGCACTTCTCACCTGCTTTTCCCCTGCTGTTCTCTCACCAGGGCAAGTACGACGAGGAGATTGAGGTGTACAAGCACCACCTGGAGCAGACCTACAAGCTGTGCCGCCCGTGCCAGGCTGCTGTGGAGTATTACATCAAACACCAGAACCGGCAGCTGCGGGCGCTGCTGCTCAGCCACCACTTCAGGCGCCGGGAGACGGACAAGAGCTACAGCCAGGTACTGGGGACACCTGGGGAGGGCAGGGACAGGGAGGAGATCTGTGCCACTGCACCTGGGAAAGGGAGGCAGCAGCCTGGGGCTCTCTAGCCCTGGGAGCTTGGGTGTGTGGCAGCAGTTTAGAAGAGTGCAGGAGAGTTGCCACAGATGCTTCTAATGTTAGTTTGAGGTTTTCCTCTCACTGGTGTCATTCAGCACAGTTACCAGAAGGTAAGTCTAATCTAATAATACAGTGGAAGGAAAATAATGGGACAGGCAGAGAAAGGAAGATAGGGGAGCCTATTTATGAGTGTAGTGCAGGAAATTACAGAGTAGGAGGGGGAAAAAAGAAAAAAATAACAGTGGGAATGGAATTATGACTTGCTCCTTGTTTCACTGCCCTGCCTGTCCTTGGCCTCTGCTCGTGTCTCTGCCATTGCTCCTCGCAAGTGTGCAATAATCCCATGTGGTATCAGCCCAGTACAGAGCAGAACAGTCCAGTCTGGAGGTGTTTCATACAGCACCATTTCAAAACCTTGCTGCAGTTCATTGAGCTTCTGACAAGGTGTTTCTCCCTTCCTCTGCAGAATCTGTGTTCATCCTCCTCTTCCATTTGCATCACCACACCAGCTCAGGTGATACTTCTGCGGTTCCTGGCCTTCCTCAGCTGCGCCTTCCTGGTTCTGATGGCCTTGTACGGGTCAGGCGACCCCTTCTCCCTCAGCACAGCTGTCCCTGCTCCTGTCCCCTCTGGCCCCCTGAGGAACAGGACCGGCGCGGGCAGTGCCGGGGGCAGGGGCAGTGCCAGCTCGGGGCAGGGCTGGCAGGAGCTGCTCCACCTGCTCCCACAGCACCTGCTGGAGAACCTGAGCGCGGCGTGGGCCTATGGCAAGAATCACCAGATGGCAGTGGCCGTGCTGGGGCTCTTCACCTGCCTGCTGGCCATGTTCCTGGCTGGGCGCATCAGGTGGGTGAGCTCGGCTTCTTGCTCCAAACTGCTCTAGGGGCAGCTGGCTAGTCCCGTGTTGTCTCGGTGATCCTGGGGTAAACGTTCTCCAGAACGGCACATGCAGTGCTGCATGCCTTGTTTCATTCAATTTAAGCTCGAATTACTGTGAATGAAACGTTGCCTGTGCGGTCCTGGTAGAAAATGGAAGTGATCTGCTCAGATGCTTGCCCAGCAGCGGGCAGGGCTGCACATGATGTGCTGTAGTCAGAGGCAGTACAGAACCTGCCCAGTCTGGGCACCCTCCCCACCTTCCCCGTCTCTCCCCAGGACCGAGGTGTTGAGCGGTGTTTGAACTCTTGTTTGGTTCCTTGTCCCGTCGCAGGCTCCGGCGGATCGATGCGTTTGCCTCGGTGCTGTGGCTGGTGGTGATGAGCCTGCATCTGGCCGAGCGGTACCTGAAGACGGACACGCCCAGCTGGCTGGACACGGCCAAGTTCAGCACCACGTCCCTGTGCTGCCTGGTGGGCTTCACCGCAGCCGTGGCCACGCGCAAGGCAACGGGCCAGCGGAGATTCCGGCCCCGAAGGTCAGAGCCAGAGCAGTGACGCTGGGGGAAGGAGCAAAAAAGCCTTGTGAACTCCTTGCGACTGGTGCTTCTCTCTCCTCTTGTTATTTTCCCTTCCTCTGTTTCTCTTTTTTAAAGTTAGATAAGCAGTGAAGATCTCTTCTTCCTTTTTTTTAATGCATACATATTTATATATACACGTATATATATGTGTGTCTGTGTATATATATATATATATGTATATATAATTTTTTTCCCATCCTTGCTTACCACTGTGCTAGCTGCTCGGAGCATTTCCACTGCTAGCCATGGAAGCTACTCGAGCTGCCTCCATTCTCCCTTCCTCCTGCATCCTACGTCAGCAGTACAAATATCCAGCTTCCCCAAAGTCACTTCTTCCAGCAGCTGCCTCACAACCTGCTCCATAAATGCAACTTCCTCCCCATTCTGCTCCTCCAGCCAAAGAGATTCTGGCTCCTCCTGTCCTCCTGGTTCTTCTCACTGCCTCTCCATCCTTAGCCACCCACAGAGGAACCCTCTGCCCTGATCCACATCGGGGCCTGGGCCACCTTCACTTTCCTAATGGTGCTGGTCATTTTAACTTGGAACTGATGGGAACTTGCCTCTGGATTTGGAGTCCTTGTTAACACGTGCTGTGGTACCCAGGCACGCGAGGAGGGGACCACACAGAGCCCATTACTTGGTTCTTCTTGCTTTCCACTGTGTAGCATCACTTACCTGCATCCTGTCTCGCTCTGCCCTTCTCCTGGCTCCTGTTTTAAATGGAGAAGTGTCCTTAAGTCCTTTTGACTGAAACTTCAGTAATTTATTCAAAAAGGTGCTTTAAAAAGTCATGTAGCTCAGGGTATCTTAATACCTGAAACAATTCAGCTGTTTGAGGTTAAATTTTCAGATCTACCAGTGGTTGCTTTCAGTGCCAGTTTTCTTTGGGTTTTTTATACCTACCTGCTCCCCGAGCAACATCTGTGTATAAGCACAACTGGATAAAAATGTTCCTATGTTCCTCCACTCCTGTAGCCTTAGAAAGAGAAGTATGGGTCTGACAGCCTCATGCTGTGATACCTGGTCAGCTTTCATTGTACCACTCAGTCAGTGTTTATTGCTGAGATCACAGACTGGAAGGGTGTGCTGTAGGAAGGGCTGGGAGCTCTGCTGTGGCACTGCATGGCAACAGAGATGGATTTTTTTTTGGGGTTACTTGCAGGGGTTCCTTTTGTAGTCTGGCATTGTGCTAATACTGCTGAAAAAAAGAGTCTGGAAATTGTGACTTGGAGTTGAGTGCCTGGGACTCCTCTGCTGAATGCTGGAGTGCCTGGGTATTGTTCTGTGGGGAGGAAGGAACTTCCAGCTGTTTGGGTTTTTTAGGATTAACTTGTTGGGGCCTCTTAGGATAAGCAGTCTGATTATCCTGCACAGCTGTTTGAAAGGCACTCCACTGAGTTTCTGATATGGATTTTGGTCTTTCAAGAGGAAATAGCACTTTTACAGAAGATCTGTTTTTTTCTTCTGTTCAGAATAGCACAGTGGAACTCACCACCCTAATAGTCTGATATAAGTTAATTGGATCTAGTCATCTTCCAGTATAAACTATAAAATAGTCAGAATGGAGCTCTCACTGTGAAGTATCTGCAACTCCTGCTGAAAAATGCAGACACTGCCGGGTGCTGCAGATGCTGGTGAAATTAGAGGAGCTTTTCTAAAGGAAACAAAAGCGATTTCCTAGCTGTTCATGCTTACTGTTCCTCAAACTGGTGTTCATTGTGAAAGCATAAAGGTAGCACTGCCAAAAGCTCTGAAATTCGTTAACAATAAGCCAGGCTGAGTCATGGGAAGGTGCAGCTCCTGCTGTGTGCTGTGACTTAGCAAGGGAATGGCCACACAGACCTGCTGCCCACCTGGGCTCTCCTTTGGAGCCCTTTACTGGTGCCTTCAGATAACTGTAATATCTAACACATACCTAACAGATACTACAAGCTAACAGAACCTGGCTCCATTCTGGTGCTTGTGAGTGATGCTGAGGGTTGTTTACTTACTTACCCACAAGAGGAATCCAGCACCTGCCAAGTCTGGTTCCATCTTCCACATTCCCATTATTTATCAGTCCTGACCCAGAACATTTGTCTTCCAGCTCACAGGCATGGGAAACCTTGAGCTGTTATGGCCACTAGGTGAAACAAGGCATCTGGGCTTTTTTTTTAATTCCTACCTTTCCTCCTGCTTCAGGACTTCCAAATTTTCCTCATAAAGTACATGTAAGGAAAGACTTACCTGTGACTGTCTTCTGCACTTGCCTGTATAATTTGGATTGAAAGTTCCTCTCGCTGTTCTCCTGTGAAATGTGCCCAAGGGATGGGAGGAATCTCATATCTGAAGGATATATTGAGAAGGCTCAAAGGAGGGGTATGAGAAGCTGACAAACTCAGTGGGAATGGTCATGGTAATGTCATGCCTGATTTCTGTCAGCAATATCCTTTTATTAATAAGAATGAAATGAATCTGTCCAAATTTTATTGCCCAGTGGTAAGGAAACTCTCAGTGGCAGCTTCTAAAGATGGCTGGCAGCCTCTTCAGCTGTTTTATTTTCAGGAGCTGAAAGTCAAGGCTGCGTTAAGTTTCACTGTGTCCCATTTCTTTTCATCTCCTGTCTCCTCTAAGTGGCTGTTTTCCTCCCTTTTTAGGAGCACTTTGGTTTTTGCTTTCTATTTAAACTTGACTCATCCTCAGGCTCCTTGGAGTCGGGCACCTTTTGTGGTGTTTTGCTCTTGAATGTTACATTGGTTTACCATGCCTGTTCCTTTCTCTTATTATCTTTTTCCCCTGTGCAGTGCTGGGATGGGCTGGGGAGGATGCACACTAAATGTTGGGAACAGGCACTTGGTAGAACCATGGGAAGGAGAGGATTTACACTGTGAAGCCTGAATAATCCTGTTAAGGAATATTGTAGCTCTGTTTGCACAGCAAGTGCAAATCAATACTGAGTAAAGTCCTTTAATGTGGGAGATATGTTAACTGCAAGTGACATCTGTGTCTTCGCTTTATGCAGATTAATACAAATGAAGTATATTTACTAGTTGCACTAATTTATATGTCAGAACATCAGAAAGCTACTTTGCTTTATGGCCAAGCTCTACAACTGATCTCTGGTGCTTTGTTCACAACTTATAACTGAAGAACTTTCATGCTTGTATTTGGGAAAATTTCAAAGGTGAAACAGAATAACGAAGTACATGTTGAAGTGGGGTTCATTTAATGCCAAAGAAGCTTTTGTTTTTGCTCAGGTGTCAGCTTATTTTCCCCACTTCTCAGTGCCTCAGCATGCTGCTGCTGCTTCTAAAAACAACAAAAACCTCAGAGCCTCAAAACCAACCTCGCAGCAATTGGGTTTTTGGTGGTTTAGAGACTCTGATGCTGACGGCCTCCTTTCTTTCTCCTTGTCTCTCATGCTTTTGCTGAGGGTTGAGGATGGTGGATCTTTTGGGATAAGGGAAGAAAGGAGGAGAAGGGTGGGTTTTGTCCAGAGGTGTTCTGATTTATAAACTGTAGCATTCAATCTGTACCATTTGTGTCTCAGACAATGAGCCCTGCAGATAAGTTAGCAGTATTCTGCTGTTGACTGTGGAAAAAAAATAGTCAAACCACTACTGCCTTTGCTGAGACTGTTCTTGCCACACCTGATTTCAAAGCCAAATAGGCTGTTCTAGACACTGCCATGCCATAGGCTCTGTATGGAAGGTGCTTTGCATTTTTCACTCAGCACTTAGATATATCATCTGTGTCCTCTAGACGTAGATATCTGAGGTGCACTGTCTAACTGCATGTTTGCTCGCCCCACAGTGAGTCCAGCAGGAGAAAATGTGTGTTTTGGTGCACAGTGGTCCTGTCCTGTGCAGCTGAGGTGCTATTTTCTGCGACACATTTCCTTCTGCTGCGGGGGATAAGAGCTAACAAAGGCTTGGTAGCTACCAACCACAGCTGACACAAAATCATCCAGAACCACTTGGTCAGTGCTTCGAGCTTCTTGTTTTCCCTTAGCTGGGCTCTTACTTCAGGCCACAGAGGAACACGTGGTAACCTTTGGTCTCCAGGTGCAGTTTTGTTGCCTGAGGATTCTCTCAGCCATGCAGGCCAGAGCATGCAAACATCTTAACAGTATCAGAGGGTTTTAGCCCAAAGGCCCCTAATTTGAGGTGCTGCTTTTTATACTAACCATGTGTCTGGACCAGAGGATGGTAACAGCAGAAGAGAGCTGAGGTGCTGAGGGATTGTTAGTGGGTTTGTGTCACTTGAAATCAAACCTGCTCCATCCCCAAGTGCCTGACCCTGGCCCTCAGTGTCGTGGCTGATCTTCCAACTTAAAATCTTGTACCCTGCCCAGCACAGCCAGATTTATAAAGGGGCCAGTGGGGGTTCATTAAGTGCCTTTCCCTAGACAAGATTTGGGACAACACTGTGTTGCTTTGCCTGGTGGCTGCAGCATGGAACAGCAGCGTCCGTGCGTCTGCCAGGCTTCTGTCCTTCCTGTGCCAGCACTGAGTGTGGCAGGGCACAAGAGGACACCTGGGCTAACACTTCTGAGCAACTCTGCAGACTCTACAGGGGGGTGAGGGAGAACCCAGAGGTAGCAGCCAAGTCAGCATCTCTGCTGCTGCTGCTTCTCTTCTTCCTGAGGCCCTCAGTGACATCAGTGCATGCAAAGTGATGCCTTTGTGCCCTCTACCATTCTGAATACGCTGTATTTATATCCACTTCTTTCCTTTCTCTTAACTCCTCCTTTCCTACATCCATGCTTTGCATGCCCTAGTGAGCTTGGGTGTGTCAAGGGGTGAGAACATGTGGGAATATAAAAATGGTGTAGTGGCTTATTATTTTGGCTTTATGAATATTTTTCAAGTGTGCTGGAATTATGTGATGCTAATATTCATGCTTAGATACTATAGGAAATATGTATTGATGTAATGTGGACAAAGTATTTATGCTTTTATAAAAATTAATATAATTAATAGCCAGATAATTGCTCCAGACTGACTGCACTCATGAAAGTTGGAGGGAGCTGTGGTAAATGGCTTTGCTTTGGTTTTCAGAGATGCTGTTGAAATTGTGTGCTGTCACATACAACTGCCAGTTCCCTCCAGATGTGCTGTCACCTGCAAGTACACTTGGCTTTCTGAGCCCTGGCAGGTGCTCTCCAGGGAAAGGGACAGTACCCAGTCCTGAAGTCATCCCCTGTAAAGCCTCGTTTGGGACCAAAGCTCTGGAGTGCACAGGCAGGAAGAGGTTCCCTGAACATTTTTGGCATGCCAGCGAGTCTGGATTTGTGTAGGCATAGGATGTGCATATACACACACCTCCTCACTTTGTGCCACCAGCTAGGGGGAAAGGCAAAAGACGCCAAGCATCTGTGCTCTAAAAGGTCTCAGTGCAGGACGTGGCAGCTCAAATTCAACTCTCCCTTTTCATCCAAGGCAGGACAACAGGCAAGGGACAAGAATTCTTACCCTCGGCAGCTGAAGCTTTCTAAGGCACATATCAAAATAGGAATGTGTCTGTGAGCTGTGCCCATTTCAGCATTACTGTCCCTTGTCCCTGTGCCTGTTCTTATCCCCATACTGCTCTTTGCTCCTGGTTCTGTGGATGTGATGGGAGGCACAGGCTGTGGCCCTGGGTGAGGAGGTGCAGCAGAGCAGGGGCAGGGCAGACAGCGTGCTGCTCCCCAGCAGTTCTGGGGTGATGGGGGCCTGTTGTGCACCCCCTGCTCAGGACAGGGGTGCCCTGCTGCACAGGGGTAGCTCACTTCTGAGGGGACATTATGTCCAGAGAAGGAAACATTTCACCCCCTGGCTGACACGTGGCTCCCCAGCTGCCCAGGGCAGACAAACCTGGGCACATCCCCCAGGCTGCCTGCCTGGGACTGCATCTCACCTTCTTCCTTCATGGGCTGAATTACCTGATAGACAAAGGGGTCCATCTGCAGCCTGGCCTGCCCCGTGCCCTCCCATGCCTCTCTCTGTCCCAGGGATGATGCAGCACCTCTGGTAAATGTGAATTAAAAAGGCACACACGGATGGTGGTGTCTGTGGATGACAGGGAGCTGTTGGGACAGAGGAGGGAAGGCTCTCCTGGCAGGAGGTGTTTCTTCAGGACCGTGTACAGTCCCATTCCATGTAATATCCCTTCTTTAACCTTCTATTTATTTATTTTTAAAGTATCTGTGTAGCAGAGTTGTGCCCAACTGTCTAGTAACATTGTGATCATTGTAAACACTAATTAAGATACCCGATTTTTGATGTTCACAATATCAAGTGCTGAAATAAACGGCTTCCGGGCCTTGACTATTTCCACAAACTGACTCCAGAGCCTTTTTTTTTTCCCTTCTTTTTTTTATGTTATTTTTTTTACTGTAGCCAGAGCCACTATTGCCACGTGACAAATGGCTTGGAGCAAACACACAGCTGCACTGCTCCATCCCAGGGCTGTGATGCAGTTGCTTCCTGCCTTATGATCATCTTGATCTCCTCACCTTTTTGATTTTGTTTCTGGAAGAAGTTGTAGTTCAGCTGCCCATTCTCAGGCATGAAGCACATTCCCATGGGAGCTTTTAGCAGCATCAAGCCCTCTTGACATGGCAGTGGGAAACACTAAAGAGTGCAGAGAACAGGAGCAAGATTTTGCACACTTAGCAGGAATGTGTTCAGAACAGATCAATGTTTAAGACATACTTTGGTCAGAATTCAGTCCTAAGGCATTAATAGCTATACTTAAAATTCTTCAGCTCCTCTTTGCTAATCAGGAAAATTCCTTTTCTGGATGGTTCAAGACAAATGATTCTTCACTGCCCTGAGGATCTGGCTGCACTAACTTGGTGAGGTTGAGCATTGGGGCTGTAGAGCCATTGGAAGCCTGATCCAAAACAGTTACAGTCCCAGGACTGATAAATGACTAATATCTTCCAGCCCATTAAATTAAAGACTTCCAAAAGCCAATAAACCAGTTAAGGTGTTTTCTGCTGCAGCAAGGAGCTGTGTAAAGTTGGATCCTTCAGCCCAAAGACACAGAAGGTGCAAAGTTAGGACAAAAGAGCCATGTTGCTCACAGGTGAAGCTCTGATCTGGCCCTCCACAGCTATGGCACAGTGAGGGGTAGGTATCACTCTTTCTCCTATGATTCATATCAGTCCTGAGCTGCACTTCTAATTCCCTTTGCCATTCATTTCCTCTTACAAAGCTGAGCTGGGCACATCCATCTGTGTGTGGGGGTGTTCTAAAGGACTCCCCATGGGTGCAAAGCAGGACCCCCTTCACAGGTCCTCTGCAGCCTGGAGAGGTTGGGCTGCTGCAAGATACATCCCTGGCTGCTGTTAGAGGCCTTTCCTGCTCCAGGACCCTGCTGGACTCACGTGTTCAGCCTCATTAAGCTGGTCAGGATTGGTGATGGCTGCCTCCTAGTAGCAGATAAGTAGTTTATAAAATACTTTAAATTGTAATCTTAACTCTAGAGTTAGCACTGCATAATATTGCTGCACCACCTCTTTAATCTCCAGGACAGAGTGACACGGGCACAAATCCTCCCAGTGCAAGGCTGAGATTTTCTTCACCCTCTGATTTATCCCTGGCTTTCCTCTGACAGAGGAAAAGCCATGTAACCATGTTGCTGCTCTCATCTGTCTCTGTTTCCATCAGAAGTGAGATTGAGCCTTCAAATATTGTATCTGCCAAATTGTGTCTGCAGAGTCAGATATATCCGTTTAAAAACATATGCACTTCATACTCAGTTCTTCATCATAATTTATCTGACAGTTCTATTACCTGCTTCTAACTAAAAAATCTTACAGAAGAACATTCAGAGATTCTGGTTCATATTCTATACTTTATTCCATGTATTTTCATTCAATTGTTAAAAATAATACAAAATTCCTGTATGGACTTCATAAAGCATTCTCTGGGTAATTTTCTCATCCAAGGTATTTTCACTGGAATTCCTAAACTGTTCCACCCTCTTTTCCACCCTGTATTGTGGGACAGGTGCACAATAATTCAAGCAAGGTTGAGCAGTTTCTTTTCCCAAAGTGCAGGAGCATTCCCATAAACTCTTCAATATTCCTGCACTGAAAAGTTAGTCCAAACCTGGTAACAAGCGTTCCTGCAAGCACAAGGAGAGAGGCAGCTGCTGGGATTTCTCCTTGCTAAGTGTCTGTCGTGTGTGTCTTTTGCAGGTACCTCTCTGGGGACTCCATTACTGTCTTTCCCAGCAGCCCTGGCACGGCCTTCCCTTCACCTGCTACGTCTCTGTTTGTCCCAACACCACCCAGCATCCTCCACCTGACAAACCAGCAGCTCTTCAGGTCCCCACACAGAACTTCCTCATCCTCCCTTCCCGGCCGTCTCAACAGGGCGCTCTCGCTGGGCACCATCCCCTCGCTGGCCCGGGCAGGTGAGTGCTCCAGAGGGAAGGCTGCAGGAGGAGATGGGCTGGGAGGGATCCAGGTGAGTGCTCCAGAGGGAAGGCTGCAGGAGGAGATGGGCTGGGAGGGATCCAGGTGAGTGCTCCAGAGGGAAGGCTGCAGGAGGAGATGGGCTGGGAGGGATCCAGGTGAGTGCTCCAGAGGGAAGGCTGCAGGAGGAGATGGGCTGGGAGGGATCCAGGTGAGTGCTCCAGAGGGAAGGCTGCAGGAGGAGATGGGCTGGGAGGGATCCAGGTGAGTGCAGGAGCTGTTCCAGAGGGAATGGCACTGGATCAACACGTTATGGTCCTGTTCAGGGATGGCTGCTCCTGTGGCACAGAGGAGTATGCAGCATTTGGATTTGGGGTTTGGCAGCAGCTGAGCAAACTGGGTTCAGATTGTTTCATTTTTGCTTTTAGATTCTGGCTACTTGTTCAGTGGAAGCCGACCGGCCTCACTGTCATCCCAGTCCAAGGAGTCCCCTGCATCAGGTACTGACCGCTCTAGGCCTTCCAGAGCAACAGTCTGCAGGATTTGCACTGAGTGAAACACATGGTCTGGCTGGATTCTTTCCTTTCTTCTCGCATTTCAGTGAAAATGTCCATTTTGCTGCTAGAAATGCTGCAGGGAGAGTCCCAGCTAGAAGTGGGATGGCATTAAAATCAGGTGCTGTGTGTGTTGGATATTCTCCCTGGGAGAGGTCATGGTGACATCAGTGACACAAAATAAGGAGCCCTTTGCTGATGAGAGCTGAGTTGTCCTGCTTGGACAGGAGACTGGAGCTGTTTCCAGGGCAGCTCTTGTGTAGCTTTCCCAGCAGAGTGCAGCACTGGCAGTTTGGCTGCTCCTGTCTGCTGCCCTGTCTGTTGTCCTTCTGCCCCAGATGGGTCCCTGGGCCCTTTGTGTTGCTGCAGAGGCACTCGCACCCTGGGCCAGTGCAAACCTCCTGCATCCCGGTGCACTTCCTCAGCAGCTCTGAAGGATGTGCCAGCACAGTTCATTCACCTGCAAAATGGATTGTGCAGCTCTCCTGGATGGACACAGCTGAGCAAAGAGAAAGCTCCTAATAACCTGATTCCTGAGTCATTCCCGAGTGTACTAAAGTACTCGTGGAATTTCTCTGTTTTGCAGTGTGGGGACTCAAATAAATAAATCATTTTAGTACAAGATACATTGTGGCCATTTACAACTCGCACTCCTTCTTCTGGCAGTACTGTTAAAGAGAGCTGTGCGTGTTTTAGTGGGATGTTAACCCTGTGCTTGTGTCTGTGGGGTGTTTCCATTGCAGATCCCTTGTCCCTGCTGTCCGGCAGCGCTGTCCCCTCCCGCATCCCGTCCCCGGCGCCGTCGGTGGCCGGCTCGGTGGCCTCGGGCTCGGTGGCCTCCAGCTCGGGGTCGCTGCGCTTGCGCCGGCCGCTCATCAGCCCTGCCCGCCTCAACCTCCAGGGACAGAAGCTGCTGCTGTTCCCGGCACAGAACGAGGCCCTGCTCACCCCGAGCGGCTCCGAGGAGCAAACCCACTCCGACAGCAATGCCTCTGCCCCCGAGCTGCCCGGCTTGCCCAGGAGGAACCTCGCGGAGCGGGGAGTGCCCGGTACGCTGTCAGTGCTGGCCATTCCCTGCAGGGAGTTCGTGTTGCAAACACAGCCCTGCAACATCCAGGCCACAATAGATGGGAAACCTTCAGGAGAGGCCCGGCTGGTGAAGTTTCCTGTCTTTTTCTCCTTGCAGATATGAGATCTGCTGTGGAAGGGGGGAGTATTTGCAGTGATAATTCCATCAAAAAGGAGGATCACTCATCACACTCATCTACCTGTGTGGTGGACACAACTACCAAAGGGGAAGATTTGGCAGGTTGGAAAGGTGAGTGCAAGTCCAAGTAAGTAGTTGTAAAATGGACCTTCTGCCTGCTATTCTAAGATCTTAACAAAGCTGTTCCTGTTCTTTGGACTGTCTGAAGAATGCTGACAAAGTGCTAAACAGAGACAGAAGAAGAGGGGTGGGGATACAGGTTTCAAGAGCATGAGATGTGATGTGATGAGATGAGATGAGATGAGATGAGATGAGGTGAAAATAGAGCCAAAAGAGAGGAGTGGAGTCACTCCTGACAGCAAAAGTGCTTCAGCAATTTCTGCTTGTGCTGAAACACTGGACAGAGAGAAACAGCACAACATATGTTGACATTTACTTACCAGTTCTTTAATATCTCTTTCTACTGTTCCCTTCTTTTCTCTGTGTTTTCCTCTTCTGCCAAGGTCGCTTTGGCACCTCTGCTCTCCGGGGCTTGCTGGCCGTGAGCCTGACTCTCAACGCTGTCTTCACCTCAGCCTACGTCTACAGGAGCCTGCGCTGATTTGTGCCAGCACTCCCTTTCTCTCTGGTTCCACCTGGTCCTGAGGAGACAAGAACTCAACCATGGCTCCATGGCCAATGGCCATGCCACGGGTGCATGCTGTTTTTTAAAAACCTACTGTACACTCAACTGGCATGAAAAGGAATCTGGGCAGCTGCTGCCATCACTTCCAGGTAGAAAATATCCCAGGATTGTCCCTGGAGATGGCAGGCAGAATTCCCAGCTCCAGTTCAAAGCAGGAGGCAGCCCAACAGCTCACACGCTTTTTTTCAAAAGAACTGACCTGAGACACGAGCCTGAAAATGTGTGAGCTGTGTTTTTAGGAACCTACCCCCAGCTCTTTCTGACATATTGACCTCGTGCTGATGGTGCTGGTAAAATGGGGAGAGTTAGAACAAATGAGCTGAAGAAGAGGGATGGCTTAGTAGCTGGTGCTGGGCTTTGGCTACTGTAACAGCATCCCCAGCCTCGGCTCAGTGGTTCCTCTTCTCTCTTCTCTTTGGCATTCTTCTCTAAATTGTCAGTGAACTTTCTTTAGTTGCCTTAAGCTTGCCTAAGCACATGGGTGACCTTGGCTGCTCTGTCATGTTCTTGCATCTTAGATGTCCTTGTGCTTCCAGCTGGGCCTGGCCCCGAGGCCACTTTCCCCAGCTCCATTCTGGCCACGCTGGCTCTCGGCTGCTGAGTGTAGCTGTGTCCAGCCAGCTCTGGCTGCAGGGGAGCTCAGCCCCGACAGACACCCTGTGCTGCCTACATCAGAACCTGGAAGCCCATGCCTTGCTTTGCCCAGGAGGCATCAACTGTGTTACTCTGAAGTGGGTGAAAAGAAAGGACCCCGGTGTGATTTGCACCATAGTCAAAGGGCTTCAGCTCACAGCTCTGCTGGAGTTTTCACTGAAGCAGTGAGTGGCAGAGCCTGTTCTTGCTGTAAATCGCACAAATCTGTTCTGTTAGAGGTGGGTGAGGAGCTGTCTGATTGTATACATCTATCCAGAAACCTGACACCTCATTTTGATGCTGGGATTTGCTAAGTAGCTGTTACAGATATTTCTTGTTTAGTGAAATTCCCAGGTGCTCTCAGTGAGAAGTGCCAAACCTGCTTCTTGACAATTCAGCCTTCTGGGTAGATTCTTCTTTTCCAGCCCAAGGAAAGTAGTAGATTTTCAAAAGCAGTTTGTAATTTGGGTATTTCTGCTTTTGGGTGAGTCTTCAGCATTGCTTAGAATTCAGGGGCCATTTAGAGTATTGTGCTGAACACTCAGAATCATTTAGTGCATCTTAGGGGAAAAAATAGAAATCCTGATGTTGTTTTGGTTCCCAAAAGCCAAGTGCAGAGAGATTTACCAGTGTGTCAAAAATACCTGGTGAGAAGAGAGTTGACTGGCATTAGCTGTGTATTTCCTGAAGCAGGACTTGGATCTATTAAGAGTTTTTCTGTTGTCTCTTCCTTTGGGCTCCTTTACCTCAAATTTCACTCCCCCACCCCACTGCCCTGTGTTTGCATCCAAAATCGGTGCTGTGTCTTTCCCTCCCTTTCAGTTTGCTGCTGTTCCCTCTCGTGTGTTCTTGCATGTGCACAGAACAAAGTGTATCTGCTGCTGACCACTGTCTGCTCTGACCCTGAGAGTCACTTCATTTTCTTCTTGTGTGTTTTAATTGAGTTCCTACCCTGGAGCCCTAGCCAGAGTCTAATCGGCGTGCATGTGACAGCTTAAATGGGGCTTTCCTGCTGCTGATTCGAGCACTGAAAAACTGAGTGTCTGTGTTTGCCAAGTCTCCCTGCATGGTTTCAGCTGCCACTTCCAGCTGCTGCTCCCACCCTCCCTGAGGGTGAGACTGGTCCCTGCCAGAGCTGCACTCACACGTGCTGATCCGAGGGGCTGAAGAAAGGTCGCTCCTGACTCTGCCTCTCCTTTGGCCTCCTCAGAGAGCTGCTGCAGGGCTGTGAAGGGCAGCACCTCCTGGACAAGGGCCCAGGGCCAGGAGAGACCTGCAGCAGAAAGATGTGCTGCAGACTGCTGATGAATTCTGTTGTATCTTGCATGAATAGTTCCTTGTAGCCAAACCGGACCCATAACCTGTTGTAAAGAGATTTTTGTCCCTTTTATAGACTTTGCACGCTCACCCGAGCATGTGTACAGGCAGGATGATGGCAGAGCAACTGCCAAGCTTCTCTTTAAACCTCTGCTCCCTGGGTTCCATGATGTTCTGGTGCAGCGTGTGACATCCCATTCACGGATCCTTGTCCTGCCTAGAGGCCTCCTGCAGACGAGCTGCCAGAAGATGCTGTGGCTTTGCTTGTCTTTATCACCCAGCAGATGTGCACTGTGACTTCATGTATGCAAACCTCCCACTTCCACCTCCCAGCCTGCGCTGAGTTTCACCACCACACTCAACCAGATTGCAATACCAACCTTGTCCTCCTCATTGCAATACCAACCTTGTCCTCCTCATTGCAATACCAACCTTGTCCTCCTCATTGCAATACCAACCTTGTCCTCCTCTTTGCAATACCAACCTTGTCCTCCTCATTGCAATACCAACCTTGTCCTCCTCTCCAGCAACCCAGGAGCTGCAGCATCTCTTCCCACCCGCATTCCAGAGCAGGAACGCTGTGTAACCTGTCACTGCACTTCTGTGGCTGCTCACTCAGACTGTTCCTGGAAGGGGTTTGGTGACCTTGTCCAAAGTAATAGAGAGACTTTGGGTTTTATTACTGAAGAGGGAAGTTTTTCATTCTGGTGCTAGAACTCTCCCGTGGTGCTCTCACGGTTGTGAAGCCTTTGTTTGAGGAATACACGAGCGTGTGTGTGTGTGTGTGTGTGTGTGTGTGTGTGTGTGTGTGTGCCTGCTGATACACAAAAACATTTGGAAGGTTTCTTCATTTCAGAAGATCTGAGCCCATGTTTGTGTTTATATTGTTGGCCTTAATCTAGCTCGTAGATACTGTGTCTATCTTGCTGCTCTTTTCTGTACAGAGCTGGTCTGGAGTAAGCAGAAGTTTATCTGGTCCCCCTGTAAAAATCTCTGAGACTGATGATGCTGATCTTCATACAGTGTTGTTCAGGGGGGAGATTTTATTTTTCTAATATTTTTCCTACTGTAAAAACTGTTGGAGTGTATGGAGTGGAAAAGATCTTTACAAAATGGCCTGATAAAGATTTGAACATGACTTAATACCAACAATTAATGATTAGGTGGAATATAAATGAGCTTTATTTCCACACCTTTTCCATTTCCTACTTTCCATTGAAAATGTCCAGGTACTTCTTCTTTAGATATGGGCTTGTTAGACATGTTCTGAGACCTTGCAGATACTTTAGATGATTTTGCTGTTCTGAATTAAAAAGAATTTGTATTTTGGAGTCTGGTTCCAGTTCTGCAGTCTGGGAAGTTTGGCAGATGTGACAGATATTATGCACATATCTATTTGATGGGATAGAGGGAGTGGGTAGAACGACTTTCTGGTTTCTGAAGTTTATCATATCTTTTTACATAAAAACATAGACATTAAATTGGTCACTGTGCGGGGAAATATCCTTACTGCTGGCATATGTAGGCCAGATTCACTGAATTTTAGGCTATTTGTTCAAGCAGCAGATCAGGCCTGTGAATGTTTGATTCCCACTCCCTCTTCCTGGGTGCTGGGAACATCTGTAAAACACTGCTGACCTGGCTGGGTTCCTTGTGACAGGGCAGCTGGACTGAAGGGCTTCTGTTGCCTGTGGATGCTGCTATATTTTTTTCTTCCAAGCACCATTCCTGGAAATAACGATGGTCTTAACCTCTCTCACAAAGATTTGTTAAAAGCCTAGGATGGGCCAATTTGGCCCATACTTTTTTTTCTTTCTTCTTAAATATACGTTGCATCCAGAAATTATCATCACTGTGTTCTGGTGTGGGAGTAAGGTACAGAGTATTTTTGGATTGAATGGGTATCTAGAGAGGGTGAGGAGGACAATTTCAAGTCCTAAACCTTATTTCCTGTGAAAGAAAGACTGTATGTTACGTGTGTACTTCTTTGGGGAGCTCTATCACTGTACAGTTTAGTTAAACATGCTCCAAGGAAGGAGAAGCTGTTCCTCGGAGGTTTTTAGTTCATGCTTTGTGTTTAAAGAGGAATATTTTTCTTTAAAAAATAAAACCGGATAAGTTTTCACCTTAGTGTGAGTGGTCCAGTTATATGCACACCATATTTCTGTGTTCATTGGGCACTTAAGCGTTTGGGGTTTTTTGTGAAATCATGACTGAGAGTATTTATGTATTATTGTACCGTCTTTATGTTTTATTTTGTAATGTAAATTTGGGGGGCAGGTGGCATAAGCTGATCAACACTTTTTAAAGGAGGATATATTTTAATTAATGACTGGCAACAGCTCACTATTAGTTGTGTACATACAGGTGTGTTTTGAAGGATTTAATGACTTGCAGTGCTTGCACAGATGCAACACTGGTAGAATCCACGTTGCCGCAGCGGAGCAGCTTCTCCATCATCCTCTGGTACCTGCAGGCCCTGCAGGGGTGATGGGGGGCACAAGTGCCGGCTGTGTTTGCCCTGATCCCGCGGGGTAACAAGCGATGGGCATTCACCGGCTTTGGTCGCAGGGACGTGCTCCCGGCCATGGCCAGCGCTGAGCTTTGCCCGGAGCCGCCCGCAGCCCCGCCGGCCCCGACCCGCTCCTGTCGCCGGCTTCGGGGCGGCGAAGCCAAGGCGCCGTCCTGACCCGGCGGCGACCCCGAACTGACCAGACTGGGCCGGGCCGGGGGGTGGGAGGGTGGAGAGGAGAGGGTTTAGAAGGGCCCACGGGGATGGGGCGAGCGGAGTGCGGGGCCATGGCCGAGACAGACCCCGGCGAGCGGCGGGCGGCGGGCACCGAGCGGGGCACCGAGCCATGCACCAAACCGGGCACCGAGCGGGACACCGAGCCATGCACCAAACCGGGCACCAAACGGGACACCGAGCCATGCACCAAACCGGGCACCGAGCGGGACACCGAGCCATGCACCAAACCGGGCACC